AAGGGAGACCCCCTCTCAAAAAAACCAAAAAAAAAAAAAAGTTTTTTTTTAAGAAAGAAAAAAAAAAAAAGAAATTCATTTGTGGTCACAATTCTGGAGGTACAGGAAGGAGGGACCACATCTGCTTCTGCCAGCCTTGCAGATTGACAGAATCCTAAGGTGATGCCAAAGTGGGTGTCAGTTGGTGGCAGAGCTCTTGCCTTGCATAGGCAAGGCACTGGGCTCAAACGCAGCACTACAGAAGTGGTAGAAAGTGTGTACTTGTATCTGTCTGGTTTCTCCCTGTTCTTAGAAAGCTACTAGTATTCAGGCATAGAATGCACCCTGAACACTATATCTAACCCTAATCACCTCTTGGCAGCACCACCTCCGGACAGGCAGTCATTTGCTTCCCTCCTCTTTCCAGTTTGGGTTCTGACCTGTTGTATTCTAGTGGCAAAATGGCACAGTTCTAATTCTATTTCACATTCATTAGTGACATTCTGCAAAGGCAAGCTTTCTCTCCCCGCATCAGCAGCCATGTTTTAGCAAGCTCTAGTGATTCTGATGTTTGGTAGATTCTGGAATGGTTTCTTCTCTTGGACATGCTGGGGATTGAACCCAGAGCCTCACCTCATGCTAGGCAAGCACTCTATCACTCAATTACATTACATCCATTCCCCTTTAGTCCCCCCCTTTTTTTCTTGAGTCAGGGTCTTACCCTATAGCCCAGGCTGGCCTTAAACTCACTATAATCCTCCTGCCTCCATCTCTCCCTCTCTGAGTGCTGGAATTTACAGGTGTAAACTACCATGTCCTCTCCCCCACCACCCCCAATTTTTTTTTTTTTTTTTTTTTTTTTTAAAAAAAAAAAAAAAAAAAAAAAAAAAAGAGGACGATAAATCTTTCACTGTGATGGAACTCAGGGAGCTTGGGGACAACAGTTTCACCATGAACTATAATACCCCTAGCTCCCTCCCCCCTTTTGTTGTTTTTAATTTGGGGACAGAGTCTCACTAAGTTGCCCAGGCTCATCTTGAACTCATGATTCTTCTGCCTTAGTCTCCTGAGTACTGGGATCATAGTTGTACACCACAGAACAGAGCCTGATTGGCTTTTTGCTTTATTTGGGGGGCAGGGGGCAGGTGTGTGTGTGCTGCAGCATGCATTTGGAGGTCAAAGGACAACTTTGGAGAGTCAGTTTTCTCCTTTCACCTTGATGTGGATTCCTAGGATCGAACTCGAGTAGCCAGGACACCAGGCTTACACAGCAGGAGCCTTTACTCCTCACTGGCCTAGTTCTAAGCTTTTTTGAGATGGAGTCTCCCTGTGTTCCTCAGTCTTGCCTCAAGTTCTTGAGCTCAAGCCATCCCCTGCCTGCCCAAGCTTCTGAGTAGTAGTAGGGACAGACCACAGGCACACATACTGTGCCTGGCTTCTTCTGTCTTTAAAGGTCTTAGTATGTATCTATGATTACTGCTCACAGGAAGCTGTAGGGAGGCTTCTGTCTTTAAAGATCGTTAAAGGTCCTAGTATTCACCTATGATTCCTGCTCACAGGACGCTGTAGGGAGGCTTCTGTCTTTAAAGATCGTTAAAGGTCCTAGTATTCACCTATGATTCCTGCTCACAGGAAGCTGTAGGGAGGCTCCAAGCCTCCTATGTCTCTGAAGAGATGCTGATTGACTCAGTTCAGGATGCTGTCCATCTAAGGCAGCCCATGGTACAGAACCACCCACATTTTAGGACAGGCCAGAAACAGCCTGGGTGGACAATGGGGTGCTATGGAGGCATGGCTCAGACTCTCTGCTTCCCTGGGTTCCCCATCACTGGGGCTCTGTGACTCTGGGTACTCTGGACCCCTCAGGAGACAGGTGGACTTATTGTTTCTCAGCCAGGAAATGTTTCTTAAACAGACACCTCAGAAATTGATTCCATCCATCACTGCCCTGAGCCTTGCTGGGCCAAGGATTCCAGTCCTAGTGTCTGAACAGGCCTTGTCTTTTCTTGCTCACAGCCTGCCGTGGAGGTGCCCCAGTATGTGGGTATTCGGCTCCTGGTGGAGGGTTCAACCATCAAGAAGCCTATGATGATGGGTCATCGGCGGATGGGGGAACGCCCATCACTCCCTCATCTGCTGACCCAGCAAGACTCTGGGGAAGGCAAGGACTCAGGGACCCCTACCCACAGGTCAGCTTCCAGAAAAGATGCTGGGGCCAGAAGCCTAGGGCACACTGAGAAGCCAGACTCCACTGCCACCACCTCGGCTCTCGGAAAGGGGAAGAAAGGCAAGGCAAAAAGTGCCACTACCCTGGTTCGCCCCACCCTCCAGAAGTGGGAGCCCCCAAAACCAGGGTGGGCCAGATTCTCTCTAGAACCTTCATCAATGGGGTCAGCCAACCCCAGCCCCTGAACAGATGGTCATTTGCTCTGAAAAAATCCCAGGTTTGGGGTAAGACCATGTTCCCGATACACCCCATTCCCCCAAGGTAATTTCTGCCTGCTTCCAAGACCTTCTGGAACATATGGATTTACCTTCCCACCAAAGGGCCACATGAACCACTACTCACAGAGTATCTTAAATATACAGCCAAATAAGTATTGTCCTGTCCAAAGTAGTCACCCTGCCCAGGCAGTTAGACCAAAAGATTCCAGGGCTCAGTTTCCCCCAGAGCCCAGACTTCTACTGCTGCCCTAGCCAGCCTTTGCCCTATGTTCTGAGGAAAGCAGCCGATGCTTGCACAGTACTCAACTGCTGCCACGTGCCCTTACTGCCCCTCAACCAGCTCCCTTAGTCCTCAAAACACCCTAGTGAGGCAGGTGCTTTTGCCCCCATTTTTCAGCCAAGGTAGCAGGAACTTTAAGGATGTTGCCTGAGGTTGCACAGCTCAGAAGGGGCAGAGCTGGGATGCAGACCCAGGTCTGTTGGATCCCCAACCCTGTGTTCTTCCCACTGCCTCTGGAGGAGGAACCGGGAGGAGCTCCATCTGCCCTCACCCCACATGCCCCCACCCCTGCACATATCCTGTGGGATAACCGTTTCAGCCTGGGGCCTTGCCCAGACCCTCATGGCTTCCCTTCTCCCATAGCCCATTCCCACTTCTTTAGTCTCCATGCCAAGGCCCAGCTGCCTTCTCTTCGCATGCTCCGACCCCAGGGCCACCTTCTCAGACTTCAGCATGGCCAGCTGGTGGGCTCTAAGGCTCTGTCAACCACAGGCAAGGCCTTGATGACTCTACCCACTGCCAAGGTTCTGACGTCCTTCCCACCTCACCCTGATCTCAAGCTGGCATCCAGCATGCTGAAGCCAGGAAAGGTGGGCCTCGAGCTGCGCCTGGCACCCTGGTGGGTAGTGCTGAGCATTGGGATCTGGGCTGAAGAGGGAAGCACCCAGACCAGCCAGTGCCCCAGGGAAGGGCTTGTCTTTCCCAGAAGCTGCCTCCTAGCCTGAGTCCTGATCATCTCTCTCTCCCTCCCCTCCTTTACACCGAGGCTGCTGTTCTCCACCATCTTCAAGGCCCCCACCTTGGAAGTGCCTTGTGGCCCCCGCCCTTTGAAGTTGGATCTCTTCCTGGCACCCACAAGAAAGTCAAGGGCAAAGCCAAGTTCAAGACCAGACTCTGCAACAAACACAAGGCTGAGGCATACCCTGAGAAAAGGCTGAGCTTCTCCAAACCATTGTCACTTATTTTGACATACCAGAGGTTGGGGACCTTGGGGGCTATGAGGCTAGAAAAACCCCTACTCTGATCTCCCACTGCCCCATCCTGGATCTAGCATCAAATAAAAAGCTAATGAAGTTCTCTGGGCTTGGCTCCACTGTTGTGGGGTGAAGAATAGCATGGGGCATGGGCTCAGAACAAGAGCTCTTCAGCAGGGTCTCCAGCAGCAAGGCCCAGAATTCCCATCTAGTGATAGATACTTGGATTCCTCTGCAGGGACCCCTTAGGTCAGGTGGAGGAGGAACAGCTTTCCTACACAGATGAGGAAAATGACTCTGCAGGAGCAGATGTAGCTTGTCTAAGCCATGTGGCTGCAGGTAGAAGGACACACTGTTAGAACTGCTAGCTACTACGGTGCCCCCAGCCTCAAAGAACAAGTTGGGCTGGCAGAATGACATCTGTTGGGCATAGAACATGAGGACAAGGGACAGGAATGGGTGGCCTCAGCCCTTCTCTGGAGGGTATAGGTCTGTTCCTTCCACAGCCAGGGGTTCCAAAGCCACCTGAGAATGGAACAGATATCCCACAAGTGTTTCAGGGGGTCAGCTGCCAGGCCTCCAAAAGGGGTGTCTATTTGTAGCCTGTGGCTGCATCCTCAGGTTGGAAGAGTTGAAATTCAATGGCAAGTGTCCTTGAAAGTGTAGGCATAGCTCACGCAGTGGTTCACACCTATAATCCCAGTGCTGGGGAAATTGAGGCAGCAGGATTAGGAGTTCAAGTTATCCTTGGCTAGTGAGTGTACAGCCAGCCTAGGCTACACGAGATCCTGTCTCAAATAAACTCAAAGGGGAGAGAGGGAAAAGGAGAGAGATTGCATAAAGGGCCAAGTGCTCTTATGCTTGCTGTTCTTCAGTTTATAACTTTTTAAAATGTGTATGGGGAGGGAGGTGTTAAGTTTTCCTGGAGAGACAAACATCTACCCAGATAAGAAATGATTCTACCTTGATGAACTATGAGTTCATTTGCAGGCACATGGGTGACCCTCAAACATCCGCAACACTAAAGTCCTACGCCAGCAAGGATGACTGCTCCATAACTGCACAGGGGGAGTCCTCATCCCCTTTTAGTTAAATATATAATCTTTAACACCGCCTGACGTCACATGCAGATTGGGCAGGATTACATACAGCTGGGGGAGTAGCTGGAGTCTCAGATGACCCTCTCCATCCTACCTCCCCCTCCTTTTTAAATTATTAATGACCTTTTTAAATTATTGATTTTGAGATAGGGTCTCCCTGCAGCTCCAGCTGGCCTGGAACTCACTATGTAGACTAGGCTGGCCTTGATTTCACAGAGATCCTCTTGTCTCTGCTTCCCTAGTGCTGGGATTAAAGGCATGTGCCACCACACCCCAGCCTGACTTCTTTTTAAGCGTCTCTCCTGTAATCAGAGCTGCTCCGATTAAGATGGCAATGGCTGCTATGCTTAGAGGACAGTGTTCCACAATAGTCTGCTTTTAACTCCTTCAAAGGCCATATGAAGGACAGCAGCTGTCCAGCCATGTACAAGCCACCCCACTCTACAGATGTAGGATGGGTATACTGTAGCTATGAACCAAGGGTCAGCAGGAGCCGAGGTAGGGGTGGTAAACCTAGGAAGCATTTTCTCCCAGGCCTCCAAGGGCACTGGAAAAGCAGACAAAGCTGTTTTGAAAACTGGAAAACAAGGTTGGGGATGTGGCTTAGTTGGTAGCATGTGTGCATGGTATGCATGAAGCCCTGGGTTCTACCCCCAGCACCACATAAACTGCACATGGTGATACACATCTGGAATCCCAGTACTTGGGGAGGTGAAATAGGATCAGAAGTTAGACCCTCTGTTCTGTAGTGAGATGGAGTCAAATGATGGGTACTGGGAATGGGGGAATGATGAGTCAGTGGTTTGGGGGTGTGAGATAGAGCCTCATGTAGCCTGGGCTGGTCTCAAACTCACTATATAGCTAAGGATGACTTTGAACTCCGGGCGTGCACCACCATGCCCTGCTGTTCTTGCAAAAAGTCGTGGAAGTGGCTGGTGGTGCTCACAGTGACCTGGGTGTGCTTGATGCTACTGAACTGAGGTTGAAAATGGTTACACTGGTGTCTGGAGAGATGGCTTAGCGGTTAAGAACGCTAACTGTTCTTGCAAAAGACCCGGGTTTGAATCCCAGCATGCACATGGTAGCTAAAAGCTGTCCGTAACTCCAGTTCCAGGAGATTCAACAACCTCTTCTGTCCTCTGCAGCCAATGCACAACATGGGAGCACTTACATATATGTAGGCAATACATACATACACGTAAAATAGAAATAATAGATTTTAAAAAAAGAAAATAGTTACACTGGATAGTTAGGTACACCTGCCTCTGCTCCCACTCAGAAGGTGGAAGTGGGAAGGTTCTTAAGAGTTTGGGAGTTCAAGCTGGGCATGGTGGCGCATGCCTTTGATCCCAGCACTCGGGAGGCAGAGACAAGCGGATCTCTGTGAGTTCCAGGCCAGCCTGGTCTACATAGTTCCAGGCCAGCTGTGGCTACAGGGAGACCTTGTCTCAAAAAGACCAAAAAAAAAAAAAAAAAAAGAGTTTGGGAGTTCAAAGCCACTCTGGGTAACAAAGCAAGACCCAAAAAACAGGGCTAGAGAGATGGCTCAGTGGTTAAGAGCACTGGCTGTTCTTGCAGAGTTCGATTCCCAGCACCCACATGGCAGCTAACAACCATCTGTAACTCCAGTTCCAGGAGATCTGATGCCTTCTTCTGACCTCCGTGGGCACTGCACGACACAGGTGCGCCTACCTACATGCAGACAATACATTCATGCACTTAAAAAAAGAAAAGATTGATGGTAAATTTTCTGTAATATGCATTTGATTATAATTAATCGAACATCTCTTGACCAGGACTACAGTAGATACTACCCCTGGACCTGGACAGTGCTCACCTGAACCCACAGCACAGTCCCTGGTAAATAATTCCGTCTTCAGCAAATCCTCAAAACCAGACCAGGAGGTAGGAACTTTTATTATCTCAAGTCCAGAGAGAAGTTGCCTGCCCAAAACCACATGATAAGCAAGTGGTCTAACTGGAATTTGATCTTAGATTTGTCCAACTAAAGAGCCCAGGACCTCAACCCACAGTTTTGTACCATGTTCAGCACCAACCCCATTCTCCTTGAGCCAGGCCACTGCCCTTCCCACTCTGGTCTGTTTTTCAGTTGGGGGTCAGGTGCAGTCTATTATGGGGAGAGTCGCAGGCACTGCAGAGTCTGGGAGAAGTATGCGGGCAGGGGTGCCAAAAGCTCACGGAGGGGGTCCCTACGCCTGGTGCCTGGGAGGAGGAGGCGGTGCAAGTGGAGGTGCAAGGGCAGCTGGGCAGCCTGGGAAGGAGTCAGGTGGAGGCATCTGAGAAGGGCTTCGTCTAGGGCCTGGGGTGGGAGAGACAGGGCAGCCTTTGGTTATTGTATTCCATGTAGCTGAGCACCCAGCTCTAATGGACATGGATCAACCAGCAGGACCTGCCTGGTCTGCAGCTGTTATTCACTCCTCTACACACACCAACCTCACACTGGCAGAGTTTTCTGTGGGTACAGAGCTAAGCTACATTTCCAAGCCCCTTTTTATTTGGTGAGACCATGCTGCAATTGAGCTTCTGGCCAGTGGTATTTGACAGGAAGTGCACAGACCTGCCCATGAAGTCCCCATCCACGCAGGCCTCCAGTTTCCCTTGCTCCCCAGGCAATAGCCTGGGTCCTTAGAGTGGCTGACGGAGCTGAACCCACTTCTACCACACTCCTGTCCGCTGGACTGAGGGGGAAACCATACACACACCAAGGCTTTTGATGGACTTGAGGGGGCAGTCAGAGACCATCCTCTTCCTCACTGAGCTCATGGGTGGAAGGCCCAAAAGACTATGTCATGTACCTAAGTCACACAGCACCATAGGGGCTCCCAACCCCAGTGTACAGTGTCTAGAGATGCTGTCCCCCACCCACACAGGGAACAGGTATGTGGGCCTGAGTGCCTACCTGTCTCTGCGGCTTGGTGCTCTTGGCTGCCAACAGGAAACGCTGGCCCAGGACAGTGCCCACACGAGCAGCATAAGTGTGGTCCCCAAGCACTGGGCAGAGCTGTAGAGCCATGTGCACCTGCAGCTGACCAGGGAACACTGGGCAACAAGGCAAACCAAGGAAGGGGAGATAGATGCTCTTCCTGACCATTGAGTAATGCCCCCATTCCCAGATCCTTTGAATGTGTGAGATGACTGCCTCCAGAGAGGGGCTCACAAGCAGGTCTGGAGGGTGAAAAATGGCAACTCACCCAGCCTGGGGGAGTCAACCCTACAGAGCTGAACATGTGTGCTGTTCTAGGTGCTAGACTGTAGGGTGTGGGCCTCCTGCCAGGCCAATTCATACACTCCTGGGGTCTACCACATGCCCCCAGGGTGCTGAGCACCCAATTCCTCCTATATCTTGTCTCCCGGAGCTCAGAATCGTTCAGAATCACCTGTGAGTGGCTGCAGCTGGACCAGGGCACAGCCATAGCCTGTGGCCATCACTTGGAAGCAGCTGAGGGTCCTCTTGACACCTTCCAGTATGTCCTTTCGGGATGGTGATGTCACTGGGACTGCCTTGGGTGCCAGCCAGGAATGAACAGCTTGACATAGCTGTGATCACCCAGCCACCTCTCCTCCCAACTGACTCAGGACAGGGCATAAGGTAGGCAGAGGCCACTTGCCTGTTAGAGGACAGTGGAACCGGCCACCCCATGAGCATAGCCCACACTTCTCTGTAGGGAGATAAATGTGGAGGGACCCCTCTTTCCTGGTGGCCTCTGACTCACAAGATGCATGCCATCCATGTGTTCCAGCTTCAGAGCCATTTGGATTGTCCCCTTGGGAGGAGCCGGGACACCATTGGTGATGGCACTGAGAACAGGAAGGTGGTCACAGGGTGGCTGACTGCCACCTCCCTACAGCCCTGGGTGCCACCCCACACTTCTCACCAGTAGGTAGCTGTGGGTCTCTGGGTTCTCCTTGAGTGGGTGAAGAACTTCTGCAGGTGGCTTGCTGTCTGGGGGCAGCTGGAGAGGAGTACAAGCCCAGAGGCCTCCCTGGAAGAAGCAGAGAAGTTGCATCAGTTAAAGCCCGTTGGGCTCAAAAAGGAAACCCTCTAGGAAGAAATACCAGCTGAAGGCCAAACAGTAATGCCAGGACTAGAATCCTGACTTCAGAAACAAGTCATAACTCTATGCAGTGTAATGTGTTTCTCATTTTTGCTCTGGCCCCCAGGGAGCTCAGAGCCAAATGTACTAACAGTTATCACCACCTAGCATGTCCCTGGCACTTGAATAGGACTTTTATATACAGTAGGTCTAAAATAAATGCCCCACACTCATCACTTACTTCCCAGGTGCCCGGACAATCTGCAGCTCCTGCTCTCGGAGCCCCAGGGACTGGCTCAGCTGTGGCAGCGCTGACAGCAATGTCAGCTCTCCTGGTTTTCCTAGAAAGTTAAGAGGGAAGAGGACAAGATCCCAGAGCTCCAGCCCACCATCAGCCCATCAGCCTTTCCTCTCTGCCCCTGCCCATACCTGTTATAGGCAGGCCCTGTGGCTTGTTCAATGTCACCAGAGGTCCTGAAACATACATGACATGGACATCACCAAAAGTGATCAGCCTGTAGGCAGACTCCAGGGATTAAAGAGGAGCATGTGACTCTAAGGCATTGCCAACCCCACTCAAAACTGAATGTTCTACTCCTCACAAAAACCACCTCCTGCCACTCCCGGGCCTTTACACTTGTTTTGTCCCAGATTTTCACAGGTGTGGGTGCTTCCATTCACTCTGCTTCTGATGTCATCACAGGCAGGATGCAATATAATGTGTTCTCAGGCCTCATGGAGCTCAGGCTAGCTTCAAATTCACTGTGTAGCTAAGGCTGGCCTTGAACTCCAGGTCTTACTGCCTCTACCTCAAGAGGTCACCACACCTGGCTACCGATTTTCTTTTTTTTTTTTTGTCTTTTTGAGACAGGGTCTCCCTGAAGCCCCAGTTGTCCTGGAACTCACTATGTAGACCAGGCTGGCCTTGAACTCACAGAGATCCGCCTGCCTCTGCTTCCCGAGTGCTGGGATTAAAGGCCCGCGCCACTACACCTGGCTCCGATTTTCTTTTTTGATAGGGTCTAGATACATGTAGCCCCGGTTAGCCTTGAACCCTTGGGCTGGGATTGTAGGTGTGGACTGCCATGCCGGGCTACAGCACTGGTTTTTCTCATTCTCATACTAGAAGACAGAAGAAATAGCTCCCACAGGAGACATGTAGTCCCCAAGAAGTGTCTGGGACACCGCATGTGTTCAATAAATAGTTGCGAAAGTGAATAAACTGCTACGAGAACAAAGAGACAAATTATTTTCCCAAAGACACACCACACGGTGCTGGGTAGCTTCAGTTGTCAACTTGACACACCTGGGCAGAGGGAGCCTCAAATGAGTCTAGCTTGACCCCAAAGCTTACTCTGACAGTGAACAGTAACCTGGTGCAGCGGGTGCCTGCGGTGGAAAGGCTGTGTGCGCCTGTCCCCGCCATGGTGAGGCTCAGAAGCGGATGAATGCTCTCCCGCAGCTGCCGGGGTCTGACCCGAGCAGCCCGAGGCTCCAGCAGGCCCCCCTCACCTTGCTGGTCCACCACAACTGCTCTCAACACATCTGCCAGCTCTTCCTGGTTTTCTGGGCGCAGCAGCCCCGGAAAGGGCTGGTCCTCGCCCGGGCCGGTTGGCTTGCGGGAGCCTCTAGGTTGCATCCGACGCCAGGAGGAAGTGGGTTGCCTGGAGAATATGGGAGAGGCAACCGGGGCTTCCTTGGTTTTCCAGTACTTTCCATGCGTGACTACGCCCACCCTACCCAAGTCCTGCCCCTTCTAAAGCCTCAGAATGCCGGGACTGGGCTGAAAACAGGTCCTCCTGCCCCACGACTCTGCAGAAGAGGGATTGGAGGCTGGGAGAGGCTAAGGAAGCGGCGTGTAGCACAGAGCACAGCCAGGATTAGAACCTGAGTCCTCCAAATCCCGTTCCTGCCCTCCCCTTGTCCTAGCCGAAATTGGGGGGCATAATCACCCGGCCTCGGTGCTGAAGCCTGCACCTCCCAGCGCCGGCCGCCAGCTCCCCGAAACCCGGCACCAAGGCCGTAAGACACCCATTGCGAAGCAAGCACAGTACGCACGTGTGTCCACGGGGACGAGCCCGTGCGCGTGCGCGGCGCGCTGATTGGTCAGGTAGGCTATCCATCAGAGTACCCAGAAGGCGGTGCAGCGGGGGGAAGATGGAGCTTTGCTTCGGTTCTGCCAGGAGATACTTGATTTCGCGCTCTGGCTTTGGGGGAAACTGAGACAGGAAGCGGAGTCATTTACTCAGGGTCAAGGACGTGTCTTAGGTAAATCTGGACTGTGTGCGGGAGGCTGCAGATTGCTGTTTCAGCTCTCTGGAGCCCTCTGTTGGAAACCACCCTCTAAGGTGAAGAGAAGAAATGAACGGTCCCACAGCCTCAGCAGGAAAGCGCCTGGGGCAAAGTCCGAACGGAGAAGGACAGAGGCAGAGAAGTTACTGTGCCAAAGCGGACAAAAACTTCCCCAAACTGGGAAACCAGGCTGTGGCTCAGCGGGTAGCACGCTCGCCCAGCATGCAGGAGGCCCTGGGGTTATTGTCCCTCACTAGTGACATTCAGGGAAGGCCGTGTCTCACATCAACACCCCCCCCCATGACCCCTCTGATATGATTCAATCCCAATCACTGAGTACTACATTACTGACCCTCCCCATGATGGGGAAACCCACGCTGCACCTGCTTGAGGTAACCCAATTCCGCCTCCATCCCCCTCCACGAATGAACAAAAATATAAAAACCCTAAGTCTGTAAGGGAGGTGCCCTCCTCTGAGCCCCTGGCCTGTGGTCAGAGTACTCCTCCCCCCCTCCGTTTATTATCTAATCTTGACTCTACAGAGGTTCGGTTTTTCCCCTTTCTGCCTCTTCCATGTTCTATTTCCTTACATGATCTAGTCCCAGAGTAGCATAAACCAGGCGTCTCAGAACTGGGGAGGTAGGGAAAGGAGGATCAGAAGTGAAAGGTTCAACAGATACATCCTGAGTTCCAGGACAGAGTGGGATACTTGATACATAAAAAACGGGCCATTCCCAGACTAGCATAAGCCAGGTGGCTCAGAACTGGGACGGTAGGGGCAGGAGGATCAGAAGTGAAAGCTTCAGCAGATACATCCTGTGTTCCAGACAGAGTGGGGTACTTCATACACGAAAAACAAACCCTGGAAAACAGTGTTCTGTAGTTAAAATGAGTATACCACCTTGATGGGTGTGAATTCAAATGATACCATACCCTGGATCTGTGTGTTAGAAATACAAGATTCACCCCACCTTAGAATTTCACAGAACTGACAGGGTTAGGGGCTACACATGAGTCCATAGAAAAACAGATCTGAAATTGGAGAAAGCTTCCAAGAGGGAGTTTGAGAGGCATAGAGGAATGCCATATAGTCTTGGTTGAATTCCTTTAATAATTAGCAGGTGAGGGAGAGGGGGGTGCCAAAAAGAACTCTCAACTCTAGAAGAAGCAGGGAAGGATTTATAAAACCTAAAATCACAATTACACCATGCCAGGGGCAAAGCCAATAACTATAGTTACACCAAATCAAGGACTGTCAGTTAACAAAGAAGTTTTCAGTTAAGAAATTTACTGTTAGGAAAAACGAGTTTCTCAGAATTGGAGAAACAGTGGGTTCTGTGGAGATATTGGGAGAGGACGTGCTACCCGGCTAGTAGTTCTAAGTTTTGTAGTATTGTAGAAACAATGTACTCCCTGAAACTACAGGTGCAGCCTTCATGGAACCAGTTCTGCCTGGCTGACTGTCCTTAGAATGGGGAGGGGGGGTAGGGAGAGGGGAAGTGTAAGAAACATGGAGTGATCAAAAGTCAGCTAGAATAAAATGGAGTTGATTTTATCATTTCAGAAGAAAGGATTAAATTATGTGATTAAAGATGTGCATTAGGAGGAAGAGGCCCAGAGAGAAAGAATCCAGGACAGAGATAGCTTGAGAAAAAAAAGCAGAGATGGCATGTGAGCTACGTGAGGTTGTTTGTTTACTAAGAGCAAAAGGTCACATAAAGCTGTATCCATAGAGGTGTGGCAGAATCAATTGTAGTACCTGTGTAGGTATCTGTGAGACTCACTGTGCTGGATAGCTTTAGTGTCAACTTGACACACCTGGGTTGAGGGAGCCTCAATTGGGGAATTTCCTCTATTGGACTGGCCTGTGGCCATGTCTGCAGGGCATCTTTCTGATTGTTGATTGTTGAGTGATGTAGGAGGGCCCAGCCCACTGTGGGTGGTGCCATCCCTGGGCAGGTGGGCCAGAGTTGCATAAGAAAGCAGGCTGAGCAGGGGCCAGGGGAGCAAGCAAGTAAGCAGCATTCCTTCATGGCCTGTGCTCCAGCTCCTGCCCCCAGGTTCCTGCCAAGTTCCTACCTTGGGCTGCCTGATGATCTGCGACCTGGGAGATGTAAGACAAATAAACCCTTTCCTCCTCAGGTTGGTAGTGGTTGGAGTATTTTGTCACGGCAATGAAGAACCAGGACACTTGTCCAGCCTCCAAATTCCTGAGGACAACATCTTTCCTGGAGGGATCCAGACCTTAGGAGAAAGCCTGAGAGCATCTGACCCTCATCTGACTTGGGCCTCTGTGGGAAGTCCTGAAGAGGAAAGCAATTTGGCTACTCCAATATAAAATCAAAAGAGAGAACCAGAAGCCTAAACCAACCAGCTTTTCATGCCCAACAAGTAAACCAAAAAGTCACATAAAGTTTACAAAAAGAAGCAGACCTAAACTTGAAAGCTTGAGTCTCACACAAGAATAAGAAACTACAAAAGAAATTCATATGTCAAAGTCACAGAGAAAAAAAATAACATGAAAAACCAAAATAACATATCCCTACCAAACACCAATAGTGCTCTAGAGGAATACAATGAGAACCCCCTAGAGATAACACAGGACATGGAACTCAAACAATTATAAACAAGATAAAAGAATTCAGTGAATTTAAAGAACACACAAACAGAGAAATCAAAGAACTGAAGGAAGATAGGGATAAACTTCTGAATGAATTCAGAAAAGAGAAATATTGAAGACTACTCAAGCTGAAATGAAGAAGGAAGTGAAACACTCAATAAGCCAATTAGAAATGACAGGAGAAAGCCTCACCAATAGGAGGAATGAAATGGAAAACAGAATACCAAGACTGGAAGATAAAGTGGTTGAACTGGACCACTCAAGCAAAGATTATGAAAAATTTAAGAAAATGCAAGAATGGAATTTGCAGGAATTGTGTGACACCATAAAAAGACCAAACTTATGAATCATAGGCATACAGGAAGGAGAAGAATCTCAAGATAATGGTGTGGACCAGATGTTCAACAGGATTATAGAAAAAAAATTCCCAAAAGTAAAGAAAGACATGCCCATACAAATACAAGAAGCATATAGAACATCATACAGACAGGACCAGAAAAGAAACTCTCCATGGCACATCATAGTAAAAACACTAAATGCACAAATCAGACAAT